TATTCATTGTAGGGTTTTTGGCATTGATCCAAAAAGCCTCTAGGAGTTTTCGCGCTGGTGTTTTGGACTCCTGTGCAAGGATATTGACTTTTACTTCAAAATCGTTTACTTTTTACGTTTTACTTCAATACTTCAAAAAAATACTTCAAAATCTCAGCTATGCTTTTGTATCCTATGCGTGCCTAGTGGGGTGCTTCGTCTTAGTTTTCGTTTGCCATCTAGGTGTTCTTTTATACGGATACACAAAAGTCTGCCCGTTTCGCCAATATATTCATCTCCGCAATTGTTACAAGAGATCAGGTATATCGTACCTGAACTCATGCAATCACCGTCCCTGCCGTAAGGGCAAATTACGCAATTCGTTGTTTCACACAGACGGTCATACAGGCGGTTGCGAACTAATTGGCTACGTAGAGTAGTCGGTGGTATTTCAACTATCGCTACCGATTCCTCTAGACCTGCCCTTCTTAAGCATCGTTTTATAGCTGCGCTTACTTCATCGCTTATAAAAGGCAACATAAACGGGATTTTGTTTTGGCCAAGTGTTTCGCGTGGGCGCGTCGTTCTCCTTGTAGACTTATCTCGTGAGGTTACTATTTCGTAGCCATTGGAGATGGCTAATTGCCGAACCAAGTCGCGCGATTCTTCCTTTAGTTCCCTGGTAGTGCACACAGAGGTGGCTGTTCGAAACATGTTTCTCACAATCGCTCTCTTTGTGTGTGAAGGGTGGGAAGAAAGGAAATGAACAAGGATGTTCTTGTTACTTGACTTTCGATACCACTTTGTCAGGTAACCGCTACTTGATAGGTTTATTTGGACGTCCAAAAACGGAAGCCAGTTTTCTCTCGGTTTCTCCCGGGTGAACTTTATGTACTTTATTTATGTATAGTGAATTGTTTGATCAGTGCCGAGGTTAACAGAAATTCGGTCTTGGGAATAACCAAAAATCAGTACTTATGGGTGATTGCGACCATCTCAAGTATGAGATCAGTCATAAAACTAAACCTATTCTATTAGGTATTGATTTTTTTGAGATGTTGAAGGGTTTCCGAATTTGAATCTATGTTCAGATTTAGTGATAAAGTGAAACTTAATCAATCTCGACAAGTCAACTAAAGTATGGATAACGATTTTGTTGAACATTGTGTTAAGTCGTTGTCTCAATTATCCGTATCTTGGTGTTTAACACTTCCCATCAACCGTTAACTCTATCGATTTTCGATCATTTATTGTTTTATTTTTCCCGCAAGAACCACTTTCAATTCTGTTCCTGTACAATCTCAGCATCCTCAGACTCATCATTGGCATAGATAGAATGTTTCATCAAATTCGTCCGATTAGTGCAAAATGATGTTCCAGTGGCTTCTACGATCATCTGAGAGAACGATATTTGTGACAACGAAAACTTGATTAGGGCGCGCGAACAGTTGGGAAGTAAAAGCTGCTTTCCCGTTCAGACTGTCAAGAATCAACTCCGTACTGAAACCCGAGCTAAAACCAGACCGTATAACCTGGTGAGATGGAGTGTCTGGCTCGTGAAACATCTCATATCCTATGCGGCTTCCGGACTCCATCGCTACCTCATGACTATTTTCTTCCTTTGTTCTGCAGTTTTCTTTCGTTATTTCAATCATGGAAGTTATTTTTCATATACTTGGAATAGGATTACAAACTCCTGTAGTTTCCACTCACACAGGCATAATTTCTAGTCATCATGTCTTCTAACAGTGGTTTTTTTTCTATAGGATAATCCTTTTTTGTGTGTTATCACGAAGCTTTCTCGAATGAAATTGTCTTGTCAGATAGTGAGACGTCGTTCTTCCTTTCCTTTACCTTCGTGAGTTCTACAGGTAGCTTATATTTAGTAATCGATTCCATTTCCACTGTTGTCTTCCATTTCGCTGTTGTTGGATACAAATTACGACTTAGTACATTTTATTCCACTACCCATCTAAGATATCATATAAAGACAACCTACTCTTTTCTTTGGATCTATTTCTTCAATTCCTTATCGCTTTTTTGCACGCCGACTCCATGTTCTGGAAATCCGCTGGTTATTGGCCAACAGAAAAACATTTAAATCACTGGTGCAATGACATCATAAGACTGCCAGCCTCCACTTTTTTTCGTACGACTGTATTGGTTGGCCCAACGGAATACAGAATAGTAGTCAGTCGGGTTTGTCCTTCCAGTACATTGGTACAACGAGAAACCAAATAATTTAGAAGGGTGTAAGCAATCGTGACGAATCGTTGGGAAGCGAATGGCAGTTCTAAGGGGCGTGACTAGATCCAAGCGAGTGGCGCGGTTCACAAGGTCTAGTTCTTGAGCAATGAGTCGTGCCTAGTAGCATGCCTGGTGGTGTGCCTGATGGCAACGAAATGCTTTGTCCAGTGGCATGCCCGATGGCTAAGATGGGATGTGGATGTAGGGCACGCACGCGGTGTTGTGGCAAATATTGTTTTATACAATAGATTATGCAGTCACGAGAAATGTTCTTTATCGACTTATGGAACATATTTGTTAGGTAGATAGAGAATTCTTTATAACAACTATAATGACTTCAGCCTAGCAAAGCTTACAAGATAATCCACACATGCTCCAAATAATTTCACCATATCCAACCGGACGTTTGTGTTCGGCGAATTCATTTTAAACTCTGACAATTGACAGCATTCGCTCCTCCTGACGTGGAAATGAAATTCTATCACATAGCACATTCATAGCAGTCGTCACTCTTTAAGATTTCTTCATTCAGCCGGTGGATCGTCGTGAACAGGCAGTTGTTCACCTCATATTGTTTCTTTTAAAATCAGATAATTCAACGATGATCGCATCGATAACAACGAGTAACAGTAAAGAATTTGGCGAACTAGCCAGGATATTCGATAGTGTTACCACACCACAAAATTAGTTTTCATTGAGGGCCATTTCAACGCTTGGTGTCTTTGCGGTCTATCAGCGTAGTGAGATGATAGGAAAACAAAACAAAACTTCTGCAAAGATTGAAGTCAAGCCAGTTGATGGCAGTGGAATATAGAGCCATCTCCTTGAACACCACTGAAGCCACAATTGCATAAAAGATGAGGGATAAAGTGTTTAGTGTCCATCATTAATTCCAGATCGCTGTGCCATGCATTCGACTTCAGCAAGCATCACAGAGATGCCTAAACGCAGTGTTTTTTCATCTGGCAGGCAAAAATGATGTTCATTTTTAGACTTCGGAGGAAAATGGGACTTGGTTGGTCTGGGACATGGGGTCAAGCTGGCGACCATATGTAAATTGCAGGGCACCTCTAGTCACCGTACTATACGCGCTCCGCACTTGTACCACTAGAATCGTTTTGATGGATGCATGCGGGGCTGGGTACTAGTGTTTATGCGGGTTATATCATGCCCGTCGATTCGGCCTAACTATATATCTGCAACTAAGTGATTAGAAAATGCAAGGAGCGCGGTTTATGGTCGCCTCCAACAAATGAACAATGTGTTTAGTCTGGCAAAACCGTAGCAGCTGTTCGTGAGTGTACCTTTTCCACTGGCTGTACTTTTTGAGCTAGCTTTGGGTATATTTTCGCCAAAAGAAATTCTCGAAGTAGAGAACATTATGCAAAAAATATAGTTTCCGTTCGAGTGGACACAATCCACAGTGCAATCTTGGTGCGCATCAAGGGCGAAGGAAAATCTCACGGTTGTTCACTTAAGATATCGTGTGATTTGTGGGATTACCCGGTTACACAAATGATCCAGTTGTTTGACTTCTGTGACTTCTGTGGCTTTTTCCTATATGGTGTTTTAGTTTTGTGCTTTTGAGCTTTTTTATGAAAAATTCTACAATCTAGTGCTATATTCTTTCGACAATATTTCTGCAGTTCATCATTTTCTCAGCAAATGCATACACACTTAACCATCACTACCAGTTTGTGTTATTTTCGGAGTCTTGATAACTTTTGACGTTGTTATGATATCAATTAGATTTTCTTCTTTGTGAAATAAGTTTCAATAATCCTCGACTAACTTCATGACAGTCTGCTGATGTTAGTGAGTCTTTAACAGACGATCTCTTAGAGATCGCTGATGTCTGTCGCTATTGTTCAAGCAGGATCTATAATATATGATACTCCCTCTACGCTGGATAAACTCGAAAATCTCACTAAGGAAGCAGTAGCCAGAGGAGCCAAGCTTGTACTATTTCCTGGTAAGTTATTATCAATTGATTAGAAACTATAAGCTGAATGATCGCAACAAATTTCTAGAGGCGTTTGTTGGCGGATATCCAAAAGGAATGGATTTTGGCATCGTACTTGGAATTCGTTCAGCAGAAGGTCGTGAAGAGTTCAGGAAGTAAATCGCTGCTTAGTTCAACTACAAATATAATTTTTTGTCGGTGATGACCTCAAACAAGCCATGGGATTTTGGAAGTTTTAGGTTTTGCAACTGTTATGTCTTTCATTTTAGAGCTCTCAATGATTGGAAAGCGTGATTGTTGAATTCTAATTCTGCAGAAGATTTAATATTACTATTCCCATTGCCAACGCATAGCTCAAGATTTTAGGTACTACGATTCGGCGATCGAAGAGCATGGAGTGGAATCACGACGTATTGCCGAAATTGCCACCACTAACGACATTATCATTGTCGTAGGAGTGGTGGAGCGTCATGGTGGCACGCTTTACTGTTCGGTAAGAGAGCTGGTGTAGTACTTTATTGAATGGGATATTGTCGCTATTGTAGAATTTGTTGTAGTTAGAAAATGGGTGTTCGAATAAAACAATGCGTTCTCCAACCTTTTCTTGATGGGGAAAAGAATGGAGCGCTCGCCGTCGATCTATCACTTGGTGATGTACCATGGATTCGACTCCATTCGTAGCACCGTAGAGGTGAACAGATTCGTAGTTGGCACACCTTAGAAACTTCTGTATATATATATATATATATATATATATATATCTACGGATCTCCCTCATATGAGGGATCTCGAGCCAGTTAGTTGCGAAGCCACGTGGTGCGTTCCCAGGTGGTGGATACGGGGTTAATCGCGGACCAAAAGCGACCTTTGTTTCCCTCAGACGCAGGTGGATCCAGGGGATGGACTCCTTGTTTCTGCTGCGCTGATTTGGCATATACTTTCTATATTTGCTAAGCGTATTCATGCATGAGTATGTGGGCGCGTTCTTGCTTATGCGGACTGTATTCTACGAGTCAATTCGGCCAAAAACCTAAAATCAAGCGACTGGAAGGTATATGGGAGGCGGTTAGGAGTCGCCTCCAACAAATAAGTAACAAATAACGCCTCCATGTCCACTCTGGGAGAGCCTGGAAAGCTACCCGTGAGTATACCCAGCCCCCACGTTCAGAGCCCAGCAAGCTATACGTGGGTATCAAAAATGCTCAACAAAGTTTAAAAAAAACGAGCCTCATTCCCCTGACCCCGAAAGAGCCCCAATTTCGCAGCGTTGGACGAGTGCAGAGAAGCTGCTAAAATCTCATAGCCAATGGAAGCTACCTGGTTTTCAAAGAACTATGGTGACGATCTGTACCTACAACACACGTACACTTGCATCCGAGTCCTCGATAGAAGACTTGCTCATGCAAGCGAGAAGGATAAAGTACGACGTCATCGGCCAAGCCGAGACGAGAAAACGTCACCTTTTCAACGCCGTCTATGACACCGGAGAAGAACTGTTCCTCTGAACATGCGACAGCAGAGGAGTCGGCGGCGTCGGCGTTCTCGTCGGTACGAGTTTGTCCATGAGCATGGATTCATGCGAACAGCTTACAAGCCGAATCGGACGTTTACTATTAAAAAAACGTGGATCAATTCCGGCTTTGACAATCTCCTTCGTTTACGCTCCGACATCAAACTATGATGAAGAAGAAGTCGAAGCGTTTTGTATGGACTTGGAGAACTTCTACAGAGAAGACCACACATTCTTCAAGGTCATCATTGGAGATTTCAACGCCAAGATTGGACCAAGAAGAACATCTGAAGAACGTCACATTGTGATCCACGGATTAGAATGGAATGAACAGGGTAAGCGGCTGTCTGAGTTTATCATGGCGACCAAGGCAATCCATGGTAACTCGCAATTCCAGAAACCCCACCCTCAGCGCTGGACTTGGGAGTCTCCCAGTGGAGAATGCCATAACGAAATAGACCACATCATGTAAACAGGTTTTGCCTAACCGTTGTCGCTGCTGTCCTAAAATTCTACTTGGGATCAGACCATCGTCTTCTTCGTGCAAGATCCTATTTCTCGCCGAAGGGAGAAAAAGCCGCTAAATTCCAAAACCGAAATCCCAGAACCACCGCAAACTGGGACTTATTCAATTCATTAGTCGGCTGTTGGGAACATGCCGTTGTCGATAACATCGACGAGAAATACGATCGGTTCATTCAACATCTTCACGTTAGCGCTATGAAAGCTGAGAGTTCGAAACTCATCAAGAGGCGTATGTCTCCAGAAACATTCGAGCTGATACGCTAGCGTGGAAAAGCACGAGCTGCAGGCGACCGCGAACTAAGGTACGAACTTGCAAAACAATGCAGACAGGCGATAAAATAAGATCTTAAAGAGAGGGAGCAGCAGCAGTTATGGCTGAAGCTGCAGAGGCTGGGAAAAGCATTCGCAAAGTCCACCGAAACTTCGCCAATTACAAGACCAAAATAATTGCTCTCCTATGCCCAGACGGAACAGTTACAGCGTCCAGAAAAGCAATGGAGAAAATCATTTACGAATACTACTCGGATCTCTTCGATAGCCACGTCCATCTTCCATCATATGAAATAGAGGATGGATATGTTATACCACCGGTTCTCCCTTCTGAAATCCGGCATGTCATTTTATCGATGAAAAATCGAACAGCACCAAGTCCGGACAAGATAACATCAGAACACCTGAAGAACCTTCCGCCGATCCTCATAAACACACTTTCTCGGCTCTTCACACGTTACCCTTCTGAACACAAGGTCCCTACTCAGTGGAAGACCAGCAATAGCGTGCTACTGTTAAGGAAAGGTGACCTAGACGGTATCGGCAACTATAGCCCAATCTGCTTACTGTCTGTTGTCGATAACCTTTCCACTCGAGTCATCCTAAATAGGCACAGAACACTAGACGAAGGACAGCCATGTGAGCAAGCAGGGTTTCGAAAAGGATTTAGTACGATAGACCACATCCACACGGCAACAAGGCTCATTGAAGTATCGCGAGAGTACAAAAGACCGCTCTGTCTCA